TAAAAAGAAAGTTTAAATGGACATTTTTAAGGATTCTTAACGCCAGCTCATCGGAAGTTGTTCATGCGAAAAGCCCGAAACATAAACCCTAAAAAAGCCCCAAAGATGGTCTCTTTAGATGCAAAAGTATCTTTTTTTTCCGGGAAATACCCCGAGAGCTGAGATGGTTCAGCAGAGGGGCCCCACCACGCCGCAGCAAAAGACCTATTAGTGTGGCCACTGGTGGGATATTTGTGAAAGAATTAGAAAATAAATAAGAAAAGAAATTAATTGGGGCTTAAAAGCAGGAAAAAAGAGGCGAGGGAGCCGGCGAAGCCCCGAAGTTGCACTGGATTTCGGAGTTTTGGAATTCAAGTTTGGAATTCAAGCTCCCCCAGGCCTCGCCGCTGCTCACCGTGGTCTACATGTGCAAGAATTGAAATATTTCGCACAAATTCGGGAGAAGAAAAGTTCAGTTTCCGGGCCATTTGGGCGGCGGCGCTGGCAGCAACGCAGCCTGTCAGCTTCAGCTCGCCGGGGAAACCCGACCCTCCTCGGGCACCTAACCGGGCACTTTGAAGGCAAATCTCTCAAATTATCAATTTAAAATTCAAAATTAAACCCAATTGCCGCGTTTGGGGCTTCAAGAAGCCCCGGGACACGGGGCCCGCCCCTTCAGGGGCCCCGCGGGGGCCCCCAGTGGGGGCCCCCAGCAGCGCCGGTACCCCCAGGGGCCTCTGGGGTCCCACACTTTGCTGCAAACTGCTGCCATCCCGTATTTTGCTGCAGATTCATTCTAATGAACATTTTGCTGCTGCTTGCTGCTGAGGAATTCTAAAAGAGGGGAAAAAGGGTTTAAAATAGACTATTTCGGGGCTTCCTAAGCCCCATTGCTGCCTCTAGGGGGCATGGAAGGCAACTGTTTGCGTTTTTGCAGCCTTTTAATTTAAAATCTCTCCAATTTATTTCTTTCGCTTTTAATTTCTGGTTTTTTGGGACTTATGCTGCCTTAAAGACACCTTTTTTTGACAAACTTTTCAAACTTCTCGCCTTTTATCCTAGTCTTTGCACACCAGCAGGAGCAGCAGCAGCGTGCTGCTGCTGCTGCTCCTGCGGGTGCAGATTCTTTTCGGGCAAACTGCAACAGCAAGAGCAACTTTGCGCTAAATAACAACAACTATTCATTTCTGAAGAAAACTTGAATGTTTAAAGTGAAAGAAAGACACAAAAAGACCCAAAAACGGACAAAAATGAACCTTTTCTGTACAGAGCCCAGAGAGCTGCTGCTGCAGCAAACGGTGGACTTGCAGTGTATAGACACCTCATGCACTCTGTCTCTGAATCTGCTTGTTGAAATGAGGCTCAGATGTTCTCAATTTATTATTTTGAATAATCTCCTTTTGCTTTAATTGTCTCCTGTTTTAATTGTCTCCTTTCGCTTTAATTGTCTTCTTTTGCACTAATGAGCTCCTCCCTGCGGCTGCCTGCTAGTCCTCTGCAGCAGAAGCAGCAGCAGCAGCAACTGCTGCTGCAGCTGCTGCAGCAGCTCTTCACTCGTCGGGGGACCTGCAGATGAAACTGTCACTGAGTGCACTTTCATTTGCCCCGCACTGGTAGCAGCAAAGTTCACCTGCTGCAGCAAGCTGCGGCTGGTGCAGCAGAGCTCGCTTGCTGCAGCAAAACTCGTGTGCTGCAGCAAAGCGTGCCTGCTGCAGCAAAGCTAGCTTGCTGCAGCAAAGCTTGCCTGCTGCAGCAAGAAGTTCTAAAAATCTTTTCTGAGGGCAACCCGAGATCCAAAGCCCAAAGGGCTCCGCAGCAGCAACAGCGACAGAAGCAGCAGCAACAGCAGCAGCAGCAGCGGCATTTTCCCGTCTGGAGGCAGCAGCAGAAAAGAAGCAAAAACGTCCTTTTTGCCTCCTTTAGAGAAAGAGAAATAAATTCTTTTCTAAAAAAAGGACGTTCTTTTTTTCTTTTTTTGATTCATTTTAAAAACGAAGATGAAAGCCCTTCAAACTCTTTAAGCAAACGAAACAAAAGAAATAATATTATCTTTGAAAATTAAAAATATAATAAAAATCCCTTTTGTCAAGTAATTGATGGCTTTTTAAATTCTTTTTTTAAAGGAGAAAAGGCCTTCTCAAATAAATAAAATTTATTTCAATTATATCTTTTTTATAAAAGTACTTTTTAAAAAAAGAATTAATTCAAATAACTTTTTAAAACAAAAAGAAAAGAACTAATTCTTCTTTGACTCTTACGAAAGAGAATAAACCTCCACTTTCTGGCATTCAAAGAAATAAGAAGTTATTTTTTAGTTCTTTCATTTTGAGAAAAATAAACAAAATATATTGTCTTTAATTCTTTTATTTCAAAATAAATAAATAGAATTAATTATTTTTTGATTCTCTTATCGCGAAAAAACTCTTTTTTGGTCTTTTCAGCTTCCCTGGTTCCAATGAGTGTTTATAGCCTCTCAGCTCTAGAAGTCCATTTGGGGGTCTGGGGGCCCCCAAATGGGCCCCAAAAGGATTTAAAAGGTGAAATAAAATAAGTAATCGAAAATTATAAAAATCTAATAAATATAAAGACTTTAAAATGCAAAAAGTGGCACAAAAGCGAAGCTTTTCAAGACGAAGAAGCCCCTGCAAAACCTGCAAAACACCTCAGACGCTCCAAATCAAAAGATATTCAGTTCTTTCACTTTAAAACCCAAATAATATTTTAAAATTCCCAAAATGATACAAAAATAAAACCTATTTATAGCTCGCTCCACCAGCCCAACTGCAGCATAAGTCTTGGGGGCCCCCGGGGCCTCCGGGGGGCCCCTGGGAGGCTCCCTGGGGGCCCCCCGGGGCCCCCGGGGGGCCCCCGGGGGCCCGGTTGTAAGTTTTAAAGTGCATGCAGCTCAACAAAATTCTTTGTTGGTCTTTATCAGCAAACATTTCAATTATTTGAAAATATTAGATTTAGAATAGGAGGGTTTGCTGCTGCGGTTAGGGGTTTAGTGCAGAGCCGCACACTTCTGAACTAGCTGCCACAGCAGCAGCAGCAGCAGCAACAGCATCAACTGCAACATCAGCAACAACGTGACAGAAACCGTGCTTGCGAAGGCAGCAGCAGCAGCAACTACAGCACCACCATCAGCAGCAGCAGCAGCAGCAGCAGCA